AGTTATTATGCGGACACTGCCTTCAATGCCAGGCCAACTCCACTTAGTGTAATAAGTTAGTTCAGCAATAGACCTGCTTCCAAACTACCTATGAACAGCTCCTCTGAGATTTGGCTTTCTAATGGAGAGGCTCCCATGGAATGCTAGGACAACTGTGGGGATCTTTTAAGTGGGAGGAAGACACTACCAAATAACCAGAAGATTTCCAGCCACTTGGCAGAGTGAAAGCTGAGATGTCATTGCTGAATCTTAGTGCTTTACAATCTTCATCTAATTCTAAAGGAGAAAGCCAAATGTGACTCTTGAGGTGTCTGCCAGGAATATTAAAGCCGATAAATGGGGGGTTTGACTGGTTCTGCTTTTGGAAAATTTGACAAGTATGAAGACTGCTATGGACTTCAGCAGCTATTACCTTAGAGGCAGCTCTATGGATACCAAACTCAGCCTGAAGCCAGCTGGGGAAGCAGAAAATGTGGTGGAGACAGACAAACAACTCCACCAGATCTGAAACGACATCTATTTCAAAATTCAAAGAAGGAGGACATATACACATACCTACCACGTTAGCCAGGTTACTGCTAACATTTTCATGACAAATTTCATGTTAGAATTTGGATCCCTTTTGCAGCTGGGGAATTGTCATCTTTGTAAAAGCACATAGAAATGACTGGAAAATTCTGGTTGTTCAGTGAGCTGTGCAATGTTCCTGTTCTATCTCAGAGGTTTAACTCCAGCTGAGGCTCACACTGAAAGGATCTGCCATCTTCAAGTCGCCCTCAATGGTCCTGGCTATCAAGGATTCACTCGAAGGCCTCTCGGGCCTTCCGGCTGGGGCGTGGAGCACTTGGGGGCCGCCAAGTTCACCTGGGCTTTTCACCGTCTCTGTTGGCTGCTGAAATACTTCCAGGATCAAATTATAGGGTTCAGGAGGAATCTCTCAAATAGTAACAGGGAGATGGGGAACGCACAGGCTGTCCGACAGTGACAAGTGGGAGATGTCAATGTGAACTTTGGTGTTTATTTTGCTGCCTCAACTCTCCTCATATCCTCTGTGACCAAGTCTGGTAAAATACAGCAATCTCCATCAAAAGCATAGCTGGCGAGCTCTTTATTCAATTTGTTTGATTACACATGCAAGGTGCAAACTCTACAGACAGGACTAACACTGATGACAGACTCTTCTAGGAGGTTCCTGGGAACATCAGCTCACTGTTTCAGGCTTACTTCCTTCCAATGTTCTCATTCATTCACTCACTCACTCACTCACTCACTCACCCATGGAATATTTCTTGCCTATTTCCACATCCCAGGCACCTGATACAGATTGGTGACTGAGAGACACATGTCTTTTCCTTTGTGACGCTTATAATAATAATCATAACCAGACAATTTGTTAAATTATACCCATTTGGATGGGCTTCCCAGGTGGCGCTAGTGGTAAAGAACCCAACCGCCAACACAGGAGACATCAGAGATGCAGGCTCCATCGCTGGGTCGGGAAGATCCCCTTGGAGGAGGGCATGGAAACCCACTCCAGTCTTCTTGCCTGGTGAATCCCATGGACAGAGGAGCCTGGCAGGCTACATGGGGTAGCAAAGAGTCAGACACAACTGAAGTGACTTCGCATGCACCCATTTGGATTAGTGCTTTGAGGGACTGATGAAATGTGAATGGCGAACCTGTTAGGAGAGGGGAGAGCAGGAAGGCCTCTCTGATAGGATGGCCTTAGAGCCAGGACTGAAAGGATGTGAAGGATTCAAGATTGCAGACTGCAAGGACGAGAACATCAGACAGAAGGAACGGATGTGTAGAGGCTCAGAGATGGGAGGCAGCTTTCATGGGCTCAGCAGGAAAAAGGCCAATGGAGATGACGCCTCGTGAGTCGAGCGAAAGCTGACGCAGAAGAGGCAAGCACAGTGAATTTGAGGCTTGAGAAGATGAATGTTATTTTAAGTGCAGTGGGAATCTACTCAAGGGATTTCAGTGGAGAAGATGTGCTCTGAATTATGTCAGATGATGTGTGAAAAATAGATTGAGCTGGAGTAAGGTGGAAAGGGAAGAATCACACGTGGCAGAAACTGCAAAATGTCTGCCTGGAGCCATTCTCCCCTCCTTCCTTACTCGAACTCCAGTTTTATTCTGGAGGGCAACAGGTCCAGTCAAGAGTCTATTTCCCATTTTCCTTGGATAAATAGCTTGGCATGGCTACATGTAATAATTCTGCACAACAAGACATAAATGGAAGCCTGTTGGGGACTTTTTGGCAATTTCTGCTTTTCTGCTTTAAAGGTGCAGCCCTTTTCTCCTCTCCTTTTTCTTCTGTGATTCCAGCTTGTAAAAAAAGAAGTGATGGCAGGAGCAACAGCAGCCCTCTTATCTAAGAAAACTAATAACGTCACAGAAACCTCAGGCCTGGCAGTCTTCAACTACCGGACCAGTGCCAACAAATCTGGGTTTCACTGTGCATAAAACGAAAACCCTCCATTTGTTAAGATCAAGTTTGGTCGGGGGTTTCTCTTACTCCCAGGTGGACACCATCATCATTCAGGCAGCCTGTACTTGAACGGCTACAGTGAAAATGAAGAAAAGTAAGCCAGTTTGAATGTTGAAACAATGGGATTTCCTGATAGCCTAGATGGGCTTTGGTGTTGGGGGATGGCGGGTGTGAAAAGTACTCAACAGGATCTGAATCTGAGAATTAGTAAAATGGGAAAGGAAAAACCCAAAGAGGGGCAGGTTTGAAGATTAAAAGCAAGAATTGAACTTTTGATATTGTACAGGTGAGGTGCTTAAGCAGTGTCTATGATAGTGATCTCCATTCCTATGATTTCCATGAGACGGGATCTTCCTCCAAAACCCCTGGCTGTGCTCTGGTCCTTCATTCTCTCCTTTTCAGGGAGGGAGAAAGTAAACCCGCCTTCCTCGACAGAATACAGTGGACCCCTGACTAACACGGGTTTGAGCTGTGCAGGTCCACTCACATATACCCTCCTACAATACTGCATCATCCACGCTGGGATACAGAACCCCTGACAGGGAGGGCCGGCTGTGAAGCTACACTTGGATTCTTCATCACACAGAGGCGCTGCACCCCGAACCCTTGTACATCACTCGAGGGTCACCTGTACTCATTCTCGTCAGCTTCTTCACATGCGATGTGGCACACACAGATACAGGCTCCGCAGGAAGAAGCCTGTGGCCGGAAGCTCAACCCCCAGGTCAGTATCAGGAAGCCCAGCACAGCACAGATCTCAGTCCTATGATCCAGTTCAGCCTCGATCAGGAGTAACAAGCTGGTGTTGGTATCCCCAACCCCTCTCTGTCTGTCTCTCAGTGGTCTCACACCTCAGCCTGCTTCTACCTGTGTAAGGTTGGACATGTCCTGTTCACTCAGCCACATGATTGCATGCTTGTTTTTAACAGGGGCTTCTTGCAAAAGATACTGCCAGAAAAAACGAAAGCCCCCCCCTATTCTAACGCCCAAGAGTCAAGGATCGAATCTTCCCTACCCAGTGGGACGGTAAACCGCACAGGAATGAGGATTTATTTAAAACTGATGCTAGTAAGCAAAGGGTAATGGTGATCATTCTACTATTCAAGTAGCTGGCTTCTTGCCACAACTTTGCAGAAACTGTATTATTAGAATTGGTGTGGCCTTTCCCACTCTGCTACCAATCCACCCTACTCCTCCTCCACCCACTAAATCCATTCTCTGTTTCTCTTCTTTACAGGGTGGTCTGAGTGTCAGTGTTTTTATCCTAGCTCTAGTAACCCGAACTTCAGAACTGCTGGGCATACACAGTCAGGTAAAAGGTCATTGCTCACCATCAGGGGATCTAGGGAAGGTGGTCAAATGGTGACCTCTATGAGATATACCAGTTCTATGGTTCCTATAAAGACAGGTGTCCTAGGTTGGTGTCATGCTGGATATCTGGTCACTTAGCAGTTTACGTTTGGGAGTTATTTGACACTGCAGCAAAAATGGTCTTTTGACAACAAAGTCAAATAAAACGCATTTACAGGGAGGCTTATGGTTTTTCTTCCCCTTTTCTCTTTCCATCCTATCAGACACATTATTGCTGGAGTTTATAATGATGAAAGAGGTGATGGGTATTTTGGCACAGTGTATCACTGCAAATAGTACTTATGCTCAGAATGAGTAGGTAAATTGCATGTGTCGCCGGCCCATGTGGGACCTTGCACCTGGTGTGGAATGGAGCATGGCATTGTCACAGTGCTTTTACCAGGCGAGGGCATGTCAGCAGCTGTGATGCACGCGGCCACAGATGCAGACAGAGCGCCCATAAAAAAAAAAAGAAAATCCGTCCTTTTTTTGAATAGAGCCCTGGGTAATTACCCTAACGACTGCTCTGTGAGAAAGCCCTGTTTACACCCTTTCATCAATTTAGGATCCAGACGGGAACAATCACCGGCATTAAGCGGTGAAGGCAATTTGCTTTTTCAATGAAGAAAGGACCAAAAAAAAAAAATAATAGCACGGAAAGCTCTCTGCTCCTGAGTCGCCCACGTTCACAGCCAAGGCTCACCTCACATAAAAAGGATGCTCAGAAGGAGTCTGTCTGACCTTCCTCCTAAGCAGAGCCCAAGGATAACGAGTGACGGTGTGTTCTGGGGCCGCTTCTGTCAGCGCAGGGAGGCCGTGGGGTCTGTGTGCCCAGCCCACGGGGGAGGGTGGCTGCCCTGCAGAGGGTCCAGTAGGCGTGGGAGCATCTGTCCACCCCGCCCTGGGGCCCGGACGGGGTGTTCTGCGGAAAAGCTACAGAAACGTTGCTCACCTTGAGAAGTAAGCTCTCAGGGCGGGGTCCGTGTTCCTCCAAGATGCCACAGAACATGAAACTGGCTATGAGGTTTGGCCATTCAGTATGAAGTAAGATGGGAAACTATGGGACTACTTACCCCCAAATGGAAAAAAAAAAATGAGTACATAAGAAAAGGCAACATCACGACAAAGAGAGATGGCCCCCAAAAGTCCTACTTACATTGAGTGAGGATCCCGGTTAAGGCGTTTTTGAAATTCTCCTTGGCCTCCTCCATCTCCTGCTCGTGGGTGGCCTTCTCGTTCATCAGGCGGCGGACGTGGCTGTTGGCCGACTGCACCATGGAGTAGAAGTGGTTTGCAGAGCGCCGGTTCACCTCCCCTCGCTCGATCCAGGACAGCAGCACTGTGATGGCCTCCGAAAACTTGCCATCGTCTGCAAAGGAAAAACCGCCGAGCTCAAATCACGCCAAGGCAAGGTCTTGGTTTCCACTTTGGTTCCTCTCCAAAGGCATAGCAAGGTCCATCCTGTGTATATGTGTGTGCTAGTTGCTCAGTCATGTCCGACTCTTTGAGACCCCATGGACTGTAGCCTGCCAGGCTCCTCTGTCCACGGAATTCTCTAGGCCAGAATACTGGAGTGGGTTGCCATTCCCTTCTCCAGGGGATCTTCCCAACCCAGGGATCTAAGCCGGGTCTCCCGCATTGCAGGCAGCTTCTTCATCAAGTGAGCCACTAATGGTCACAACTGGACCTTGTGAGCTTTCCTGCAACTAATGGCTCCATCACCACTTAGCTTCTCTTTCCTCATCTAACTGCACGGCACTGCAAAGCCACCCAAGAAACAAAGAGTGGTTCACCCTCTCACTACCAATGTGGTGAGCTCAGTTTTAGAAGATCTCTTCTGGGGATCCTTTGAAATATGACACAACTGCATTCTTCCACCAAACCCAGATTTCTTTTTCTCAAGAGTGGCTCAAAAAACTGTTACCTGTTTGGCCTCCAGTTCATTTCCTTATTCTTTTATTGGTAACAGCATACAGCAATACCAGTTTTCTGACATAGAATCTGCTGAGTTATGGTCAGGATGTGGATGACGGGTGAAATTACTTTTAAAAGCAATCATGATGTAAGATATTGTTCCCAAGGTAGTAGTAGCAATAGGTCAATTCTTGTTCTGCTGCAGTTCAAAACCAATTTCACTTTAGGTTTACTATAACATATTTGATTATGGTGAAAACTAGACCATTTCCATGCTTTCAACAAAAGAGGACCTGTTCCTGGGGGGTGTGGGGGTAAGTGTGTGTGTTGGGGCAGGCTGTTAGAAATCCATTTGAATTTGATTTAGGAGTATGGGGGTGGGGTAGGGGACAGGAGGTTCCCCCTGTAAGTAAGTGATAAAGTTCATTTCAAAAGAAAGCAAATAGACTTGCCTGTTTGCAAACAGTTACTGGAGCAGATCTCTGTTGTACGGCTTAGAGGTGGGAAAAAAGCAAGTTTGGAGGTGATTAATTGGAACCGGAAGTTGTATGTCAGTTATTACAACATAAATCAATCCTACTGCTGAAAGTGCTGGGCTTGTTTTCTAAACTTGAAAAGTCTTTCATTTTTGTATTTTTCTACCCTCTAAAAACATAATTTATGAAAAATATCCTAGAAGTGAACACATTATAAATTAATTATACTTCAATAAGAATTTTTGTAAAAATAAAGAAAACAAAAATATCCTACATTTTCTAAGTTAAGAGTAGAGTCTGGATTCTAAAAATCAGGAGGAAAATTAAGACTAAAAGGTTCAGATACTTACTCATTTATTTGACAAATACAGAGTGGCTACTATGTTCCTTCCACTAGAGGAACACCAGAGACATCCTTATACACTGTATATGTGTGTGTATTATTGTTTATATATTATGTATTGTTAATATAGACATACACACACATCCATATTCACACACATACATACATACATATATACACACACACACACACACACACACTCCAGATGAACAGATAGAGGGTGATTCATATTTAGTAAAGGAATCTTATTTTATTTTACTACCCAGATGTTTTCTGTTAGTATTTAGTGAGTTAGTACTTAGTTTAGTTAGTTAGTTAGTGAGTATTTAGTTATTTAGTTAGTTAGTGAAATACTGTTAGTATTTCACACCCCATATGAAGCCTGCATTTGCAGACTGCTTTCTGAGTTTTGCAGAGCACTACGGAAAAACCCTTAATCCCTTTTCTCCCAGCCATCCCCTCCCAGACCGGGGCATGACTTCACCGCTGCGGCTGCTGCCTGGCCCGGAAGTACGTGCATTGCATGCAGGTAGGCTAGCCTGACCCGTGCCCGTGGAGTGGGTTCTGGCTTCCCCAGGCTGGAAATCGCGCTGCTGATGGGCCACCACCTCCATTCCTCCCCCACCCAGGTGGTGCCCGTCTGGGCTTGGGGCCGCAGCTTTATTCCTGAGCAAACCTACCCCCTGGGCCCTCACGCTTTGATATGAGGAGATAACCGGCCCGAGGAAGGCCCATGGGGCAGCCTGCGCAGGAAGGACTCAAGTTTCCTTGCCAATTTCAACCTGCCGCTGAGCGAGCGTGTGCACGTGTTCAGTGTCATGGCTGGCCCACACAGTTTTGTTAACTCTGGGATTTCAGCCTGAGTTCAACCCTCAGTGAACTCCAGCTGCATGAGTTTCTTATCTCATTTCATGGGCTGGAGCGGGCTTATACAGGAAAGAGTCCATCACACAAGTTAACGCCATGTTCAGCCCGAGGAGAGGCCCATAATTTAGCATGATGCTTATAGGAGCCCCACTGCGACACTCACAGTCAGAATAAACTCCGCCTCCCTCCCACACTCTGCCTCTCTCCCTGCCTATGTATGTTAGGAGAATGGGCCTCTGAAAAGACGGCAGAAATCTACCTAACACTTTTAAGAAATCCTTTCTACCCCTCCCCCCACCCTTCTTAAAAGATAACAACAGAAAAGGGAACTCTTGACCTCATGGACCATTTTCCCCCCTTGGCTGTGACTCTATCATCTCTGTGTAACACAAAGAAAAATCCTAAATGTTTTTGTTATGGGGCTTCCAAGGGAGAGAGACAGAGAGAGACAACATGCACAAACAATGGAGTCCCATCTTCCTTTCACCCATGAACGGGCACGGTTTTTCTTCTCTTGCGTGTGGTCACACAGATCATAAATACCCTAACTTACTGTCAGGAAGAACACACTTAAATTTTAAAAACAGACACTCACAGTCAGAATAAACTCCGCCTCCCTCCCACACTCTGCCTCTCTCCCTGCCTATGTATGTTAGGAGAATGGGCCTCTGAAAAGACGGCAGAAATCTACCTAACACTTTTAAGAAATCCTTTCTATCCCTCCCCCCACTCTTCTTAAAAGATAACAACAACAGAAAAGGCAACTCTTGACCTCATGGACCATTTTACCCCCTTGGCTGTGACTCTATCATCTCTGTGTAACACAAAGAAAAATTCTAAATGTTTTTGTTATGGGGCTTCCAAGGGAGAGAGACAGAGAGAGACAGCATGCACAAACAATGGAGTCCCATCTTCCTTTCACCCATGAACGGGCACGGTTTTTCTTCTCTTGCGTGTGGTCACACAGATCATAAATACCCTAACTTACTGTCAGGAAGAACACACTTAAATTTTAAAAACAGATGTTTGCTTAACTGATCTAAAAGCCAAATATTATTGTTCTTCACTCTTAGACCCAAGCATTAGTCCGCCAGCAGATTATAGTTAATACATACTTTTCAGAAAGAGAGAGAGCAATTTTAGGATTAAGCAATTAAGAATACACAATGAAAAAGCAGTGAAAAAGCAAGTAGGCAAAAGACTTGCTAATATCATAACAAATAATAGTAGGCAGAATTCCATTTTCTCAATATATATGAATAAAATAAAATACACCTTATATATTGTATATATCATATACCTATGTACATATGGCTTTGTATATAGTTTTGAAAACTTCCAGTTTCATTATTTCTGAACTTTCTGGCAGGCTCATGGATGACTGATGCACTACATTTAAATTAACCATGAAAACATTAGTTAACATGTGATTGGTTAGACAATATTTGTTTCCATGCAAGAAGTGAATTTATATTAATTAAGACTAAGTCGGCAGCTCCCTCTGAATGGCCACATGAGTGTGTTGGGAGTGGTCATTTTCAATATCGAGATGAAAATTCAATTCTGCCTTCAGGGGAAAGATCACTAAGAAAACAGAAAACAATATAAACTAATTTAAGCAGGACATAGATTGCAGCGCTATTAAAGCTATTCATGTGGAAAGAAATTAACACGGCTCATAAAAATCACATCCAAGATGCAATTAGAAAAATTCCAAATACTTTTTGTGAACATGCTTGGGCTTAACTCTGAACATTAGTGCCCTTTAGAAAAGAGAATGGGCAAACACATCTTCTTCACACTAAGAACCGGGAAAGTTTGCATATTATGGAGCGACTATGGCCCACCTAGCCTTCCCTAGTGGATAAGATGGTAAAGAATCTGCCTGCAACGCACAAGACCTGGGTTCAATCCCTGGGTCAGGAAGATCCCCTGGAGAAGGGAATGGCAACCCACTCCAGTGTTCTTGCTTGGAGAATCCTATGGACAGAGGAGCCTGGAGGGCTACTGCCCATAGGGTTGCAAAGAGTCGGACACAACTGAGTGACTTTCACTTTCACATGAACCACCTATTTGCTCACTAAAAATTCCCCAATGTTTCCTAATCAAGGACCTCACAATGTCACACCTGGGTTACTACAATCATTTGTTCCACGGCCTCCCTTGATTGGCATTTCAACTGTCAATCCATTCCCTGTTCCTTTGTCATGCTCCTCTTTGTTAACACAGTACTGACCAGATATATATTAATATCTCTTTTGTTACCTGAACAGTATTGACTGGAGACTTATCAATATGTTTTCAGACAGTGATACAATGAACATCACCAGGTGAAGATGTTAGAGCTTAACATTGATCAAGGGTTCATTATACAAATTATGATTGTCATTATCTTTCATATTTTACTCCATTAGGTTTCTGTTCCAGCCTTGTGTATATTATAAATGTAAAATTTTCAAAAATGATGCAATGTGAAACTTTGAGTGAAAAAGAATTTTTCAGTGAATCTTATGCAGATACTTTCTGATTGTCCAAGTGACATATATACTAGTGTTTCAGAAGATGCCAGTTCTTCAGAATATAGTTCTGATTCAGACAATGTGAATATTAGAACAACAAAAAGACAAAAAACCTTAGTGATTGCTTCTGACACAGAAAGTGAAAATGAAACTCTCAGTGCCAGAATGTGCCTTTGCTTCTACAGAAGAGTAGATTGAATACAACATTTCATGAAAATTAGAAGACTTTACACAGGTGTGCCAGGTGTAACTATTGCATACAATAACCCGCAAAGTGTTAATAAAATAACAGAATTATTCTTTGGCTGGTCAAAATAAAAACAACCAGCCTCAGATACTAGCTTCTGCAAAAACCCCCTGGTTAATAATGAGTTAAGCACCCTGCCCGTGCCTCCCTAATTCTGCATGTGCTGTGCACGCCTCCTAGGGTCCCTGGAGATCCTGGTCGACCCAGCTAACTGGTCTGCTTCCCTTAAGAGTCAGCCTAGGTGCCTTTCATAAAGGAAGCTTTTCCATAACCCTAACATGAATCAAGGGTCCCTTTGCTATGTTCCCACAATTCCTTACATATCCTGCTATTAAAACATTAGTCATTTTGTACAGTAATTGTTGGTTCATGTACCAACTGGCCCTCCAAGCTCTGAGGGGTCAAGATGAGAAGAAAATTTCCAAGACGGCTTTCAACCTTCTGTTCACTCTGAGTTTTTCCCTGTGTAGTTTATTTCACTACACTCTATGTCTAATAGATTTGCAGTGCATTAGTACTGGAAAGTTATAGCAAGTCCAATGGTCAAGAGTTGATAATAAACATTTTAATTTCATGTTGAAGAGTATTTTCATGTTGTCCACCAGAGATAAATGTTCTCATAGCACTGAGGCTGGCTGGCCCTTTTATCCTTCAGGCCTCTGAGGTTATTTCCATTAGCAATAAAAGTTAAGACTGATCTCAGAAAATTACACAGAAGTCTTTCATTGTAAGTTAACCAGCTTATCCAATGACTTAAAAATCTTTTTTGAGTTTTTTTTTTTTTTAATTCTAGAAAAGTAATAACCTTTGCATTTAACTTTGTATTTAGCTTTTTAATTCTGGGAAGGGAATGATTTAACTTTGTGAGGACTAAAGAATATTATAATGATGGTCACACTTCAGTGTCGCTACCTGAATCCATACCCATTTCATTTTATTTCTAGTTACTTCAGAATTTGTCAACCTCTCTCCCTATCCCTCTTTCTCATGTTTATTCAGCACAAGGCACGCAGTAGGCATTTTAAAAATTGTATATGGAATACATGCACACATTCTACATTGCTCCAGCCATGTCCGACTCTTTGTGACCCTATGGACTGTAGCCCACCAGGCTCCTCTGTCCATGGGATTCTCCAGGTAAGCTTACAGGAGTAGGTTGCCATGTCCTCCTCAAGGGGATCTTTCGGAACCAGGGACCAGCTATGTTTCCTGCACTGGCAGGTGGGTTCTTTACCACCAGCGCCACCTGGGAAGCTCACATAGGGGATACATCTTTCCTGTTCAAAGACCATAAGCATGAGCCTCACTTGGGGGCTTGCTGAAAATGCAGTCACAATCTTACTCAGAACTCCTGACTCAGAATCTGTATCCTCATCCAAGTGTTTCATATGCACATTGACACTGGAGAAGACCTGGAAGAAATCACTCAATAAAAGCCAGGAAAACTGGTTAGGAGCTTATCTAACTTAAAAAGATCATGAAAACCAGAAATGGAAAGGGGCATCTGAGAGAGTGGAGAATACTGAAAGGCTTTCACGTGATTCCCGTGAGATTTGTGAATCTGTCCGCAAACCCTCTACTCCCATTCAAAGAATAGCAGTTTAAACATCAGTCATCCTTATGCCAGAAAAAGAATGTGAAAAATAAGTCAAAAGTCTTAGAAATGGGCACTGAGAGGATAGCAGATTCTTTCACACTGACTTGATGGACATGGGTTTCAGTAGACTCCGGGAGTTGGTGATGGACAGGGAGGCCTGGCGTGCTGCGATTCATGGGGTCGCAAAGAGTCAGACACGACTGAGTGACTGAACTGAACTGAGGCCATTTTACCATGCTTTAGGGACACGACATAAATTGTGAAAACTGGTAACAATGCAAATAATTCTTCTCTGTAATAATGTCAATGAATTTTTGTCCAAAAGAAAATATAAGTCTTTACAAAGCAAACTCTCTTTTGAACCAGTTTTAACATCTTACTCGC